ATGTCTCAATCCTCGGTCGCCGACGCCCTTGATCTCAATATGATAGGGTGTTGGCATTCATCTCTTTTGTTGCATGCATTTTACATTGAACGGCAAACTTGGCCTCTTAGGCCATCATGCATCAATATGCATAATTGATGGCCCGAGGGTCGAGGGTCATGTTCCCTTGAGTCCATTGCATGATAGGGAGTGTGGCCATGCTCACATTTGCTTGAAAATTCCATGCCATACACTGCTTGCCCTCTGCTACTGTCAACTGCAGGTTTCTGCAGGAAGCAATGGCTGGTCGGCCACCTACAGTGCCGACCGACCATCAGTGGCTGGTTTGTGGTACAAAATTTGGCCGATAAGCCCATTACCATGGCCGGTGAACTTTAATTATGGTCAGTGACATCCCAGAGCACTCAGAGGATGACTCAAAAGGGGTCTGGAGACTTTCAAAATTTTCAGAGGAGCAAGGCAGTGAAAGTAGAGGAAGCAGTGCTATGGCAGTGAATTTCTGGGCGAGACGAGCCAAGCATGCATCATTCACACATTCCGAGGAAGGGCTGCGGCCACCTTTCTTCTGCATTTAATTTGTTAATTAGTTAGGAATTCTGTAATAATTAATTTAGCGGTATTCATTTGGTTGTGTAATATTTATTCAGACCCTCCGAGTGGGGGCAATTGTGTAATAAGTGTGCGTGAGTGTGTGTATGTCTCCCAACCCCACGTCTTTCTTCCCTTTTATTTGCTAGCTTTCGATGGTTAGTCTAGGGCATGTTTCAATTAGCATACAGTATGATAGCATGTTTGCATCCATTCATTCGTTTTGCAAGCACTGGGCTCGGCGCATCATTCTAACTGCATTTGTATTTCAATTCCAAATTGAATATGTGTTAGTTGTAGCATTTCACATGTCATTATAGATTAGCCGAGCCTATCTTAATTACATTTTGCATGTGTTACATTAGCCATTTTAACATGAACTAGGATCATGCATATGATTACTAACTAGTTTATGTTTTGGCTCGGAGTACACTGTAACCTTTTTCGCTTTAGTATCCCCGTACGAGTGTGAATGTTAACACGGCAGCATGCTTACCATGTGGCTAGATGCTTATGTGATATAACTCCTTGAGTGCCTGTGGGTGGAGGTTAAATTACCTAAAATTGGAATAATGCATTAAAACTGTGAGTTTTAAGCCCGCTAGATAGTGTCAAAACCATCTTTTCTAAAACCCACTTGAGGGTGACAAAACTTGCATTTTAGCCTACTTGCGAGTAGCAAACCATTTTCAAAACAAAGATGCAATGTTTTGTTCCAATTTAGGCGATTTGGTCTATACTTATTTGCTGTGCACATAACGTAGTAATTCTAGGCTAATAACCGGATAAGAACACATAACATTTTCAAAATTGGATATCATGGTTAGTAGAGGCCGATCTTCGGATCGGGCGAGAGGGGGTGCTCATAGCTGACCTTTCCCAATCGTACCCAAGTTTCCGAGCCGAGGCAACTTTGGTGATGACAGACACGTGGCCTTTGGCACCGAGTCAGGGTTTCCTAAATTTCCCAAAATAAAAATATTTAGGTGGCGACTCTGTATCTAGCAAAGCAGTCCATGTTTGACACTTCTTTTTTAAAAATCTGTTTTCCAAAACGATTTGCCGGATTTGGACTCTTTGATTCAGATTTAGAACCGTGACAATTTGAGAGTCCTGAACTGTAGTGAACCCAAAAAACAAACAGAACGGGATTCAACCTCCTGGGGCATTCAGGGACGTCCACAGTTTCTGGCGACTCCGCTGGGGAGTTAGAGAGCTTGACTCGAACTCGTGATATCCTGTTTTGATTTCACTTATGTGTTTCTTTGCATTGCATGTGCATTGGTGCGCCTAGGACACCGTGTTTGCCATCTGCCATTCCTGAACGGTTTGCCAGAGGCTTGTCTTGTCAAGGCATGACCATAAGGCTGACTGGTTACGGGCTCTGCCAGTATGGGGACACAAACCCCGATTTTACCGGGGCACCCTTTTCCACCATTCGACCTAGTGCATATTCGGAATCCATAGTGACCATTCCAAACTAGGACAGGTTGCTTACCCGATGTTAGGTTGTTTGAAACCATTGCGTGCGTAGCGAAACCCTAGCTCATGACAAAATAGGACAGGGAAACCCTACCCCAACATAGGGGTGTTTTGGCTCTCACTTATCTGCTATGTGCTTTAGAGTGTGTCTCTATAGGAATGCGTGTATCAGTTTGCAAGTTTGGGCATCAGGCCTGCGGGCGCCAGCTCAGTATTTGAGGATCAGTTATTTGCGGCTATCAGGTTCAGTTTTGGAAACAGTGATTCGGGGACAATAATCAGTATTGAGGAACAGTATATTCAGCTTATCAACCGTGTGTTGTGATACCCGACTATGTGTTGTGTATTTATTTTACGCTGTTATGCTGCCTGTTTGTCTGGTTATTTATTTCCTTATTACTTTATTTATTTTCTTACGAGGTAGTTTAGCACGATTGCTTCTGACCCAGTAGATATTCCCCAAGCACTCTGGACTAGAGGTCGCCGACTCCATCGATCTGTGGATCTGGTAGACGGACAACCAGTGTTTCACTTTTTACCCCCGGTTGTCAGACGGAGTTCAAGAAGACACAGTGTATCGGTACTAGGATTGCCAGATCAGTGGTCTGTGAACAGTCAGGTTGAAATTCCCGAGTCTACTACAGAGGCAGATACACCAGTAGTTCAAACAGACCAGGGCAGTATGGCGGTACCGACAGGAGTTGAAGAAATGATGCGCTAGTAGTTCAGACAGACCAGGGCAGTATGGCGGTACCGACAGGAGTTGAAGAAATGATGCGCTAGATGCAAGAGACCATGAGAGCCATGCAGCAATACGTTGTTCGCCGGGATGAGTTTGCCAAACAACAAGCCGAGATCATGGCCCAGCAGGCCGAGCTAATCACCAAGCTGCAACAACAAAACGGAGCCTCTGCTTTACACCAGGTTCCTCCCCCAGCAAGAGTCCCAATACCTGAGGAAACGGCAAATGTCCAGAATACTCAAGAAGATACAGACATCCCAACGGGGCCAGCTTCGCCCCCGATTCCACCGCAACTATCCAAGGCACCCACGCCTATCAATGCATCGGATTCTCCCTTCGAGTTCGAAGTGGACCCCACAGCATTAAAACTAAGATGTTTAAGAAATCCCAGGGAGTCAAGACCATCCCTGATATTGAGGACGGGTATACTGACACGGCTGTGACGCTGCTAGATCGGTTCAAGATGCCGCACATTGACCGATTTGATGGGTCCGGGGACTCCGTAGTGCACCTGAGGTTGTTTTCAGATACCAGTAGTTCAGACAGACCAGGGCAGTATGGCGGTACCGACAGGAGTTAAAGAAATGATGCGCTAGTAGTTCAGACAGACCAGGGCAGTATGGCGGTACCGACAGGAGTTGAAGAAATGATGCGCTAGATGCAAGAGACCATGAGAGCCATGCAGCAATACGCTGTTTGCCGGGATGAGTTTCCAAACAACAAGCCGAGATCATGGCCCAGCAGGCCGAGCTAATCACCAAGCTGCAACAACAAAACGGAGCCTCTACTTTACACCAGGTTCCTCCCCCAGCAAGAGTCCCAATACCTGAGGAAATGGCAAACGTCCAGAATACTCAAGAAGATACAGACATCCCAACGGGGCCAGCTTCGCCCCCGATTCCACCACAACTATCCAAGGCACCCACGCCTATCAATGCATCGGATTCTCCCTTCGAGTTCGAAGTGGACCCCACAGCATTAAAACTAAGATGTTTAAGAAATCCCAGGGAGTCAAGACCATCCCTGATATTGAGGACGGGTATACTGACACGGCTGTGACGCTGCTAGATCGGTTCAAGATGCCGCACATTGACCGATTTGATGGGTCCGGGGACTCCGTAGTGCACCTGAGGTTGTTTTCAGATATCTTAAGGCTGATGGGCCTCACCCGATTACAGAAGCTATCTTTGTTCGGCCGGACCCTGTTGGGTGTGGCGACCGTCTGGTACGCCAAAGATGACATCAAGAGAAACTGGGATGAGATGGCTGAGGCCTTCATTGCACAATACTCATATAACACGCAAATTGAGATTACGACTCGTGACCTCGAGACGACGAGGCAGGAGCCTAAGGAGAGCTTCTCAAAGTTCGTGACCAGGTGGAGGGCCAAGGCCTCGATGATGACCCTAAGGCCCACAGATAAAGATCAGGTTAGGATGATTGTGAGCAATCTCCAGCCTAAGCTGATGCAGAAAATGATCGTGCTCCCCTTCCCTACCTTTTCAGATCTGCATGAGATGGGAGTACAGATTGAGGACGCCTTGAAGCAGGGCTTAATTGATAATGACCGGGAGTAACCCCAAAGAACTTTCAATCGCAACAACAATGCAGGCCCGAGCGGCGCTACAACTACAAGGCCCTCCGAAGTGAGCATGGTCACCACCACCCCCCCACCATGACCCATGGCAGCCACGCCATTCTCCGGTGCGTCCGGAAGCCATACACAAACAGCCAAATACCCACCCAAAAACCAAAGAACCTTCGCTCCACTATATATGCTCTTGTCCAAAGCCCTGGGGTTTTAATTAGAAAAGGGCACTTGAAGCCCCTAGAGCCGCGGCCACTACCAGAAAAGCTTCCCCCTACCCACAACCCAGCCAAATATTGCGCATTTCACCAACAGCACGGTCATGACACCAACCAATGCTTCCGATTACGTCATAAGGTTCAAGATCTCATCAATAACGGGGTGATTTTGCCTCCCGAGAAACCCAATGTTACAACAAACCCTCTCTTACCGCACAACCAAGCTCCACCTCCCAAGAGAATCAACTTTATCCAGACTGGGGTCGTGTCTTACGATCCCAGCATATATATTACCCCAACCCGCCTACCCAAGCTGGAGGTGCCCCTTCCTGACTACACTGACTTGTGCATGTTGGACATCTCCAAAACCCAACCCGAACCAATGGTGGTGACTGTTAAAGACATAAGAGGGGAGATTTCAGAGGAAAATGGGATTGTTGAGCCAGAGTTTGAGGAATCTGGGGGTTTTATTGAGAAGGTATACAGTCCGAGTGACTACATTTCATTAATAGGCCAGGATGGGCCAAATGTGGAATTGCCGACAAGGGCAGAGCTGTGTATGATCCAAGGAGACGGATTTACAGAGGACAGATGGTTTGACAGCTGTGGAAGGAGACCTTGCCAACCTCCAGTTTTTCGATGACCAAGATTCAGGGGACACAGCAGTCAACTGGTTTGATTATGAGGAATCGACAGAGGCTACCGGGTGGCTGAATGATCAACCGGATGTCATGGAAGAGTTCCAACCAAAACGAGGCCCGACAGGGGCAAGAATGTCAGTGACGGTCGGAAGGGCTGAAGAGCAGAATATATCGCCGGAGAGCGCTGGTGTCAAGAATCTCACTCAGGAGTGGAGCATTTTGAATACATAAATTGTTGAACAGCTAGCTGTACTGACACAATTGGAACGGGAAAGGTTTGAGGATTCTGAGAGAATTAGGAAAACTAAAGCCCACGAGGGGACTGAAACTGCTATGTACACAGAAACAGAGAATACTGCGAGCATACGGATGGAGGGTACTGCGAGTACGAGAACAGTCATACCGGAGCCGGACAAGTACCTGTCGACTGCCGATGGAATGTGGTGGGAGGACGATGATTTATGTCTTGCCCACACGGATGAGAATTGGGGGAGTAACCAACCAGATGATACCTGGTACATTGGCGAAGTCGATCACATGACTAGAAGTGGACGGTATTTCAAGCCCCCACATCTAGATCAGCCAGAGGCGTCTGGGAAAGATAAGGAGGCAGAGAATCAGAAAGAGAAGCAACTCGAAGAAGAAGCGGTATTGAAGCAGTTGAAAAAGATACAAGCAGACATCTCCATCTGGGGACTGCTTATGGCATCACGTGTTCATCGACAGGCCGTCCTATCGGCAATGGATAAGGCCAAGCTTTCAATAGAAACCACGCCAGAGTAGCTGGTGGGATTAGTTTTTCCGGGAGGGGCTACCCCGATGCTGACTTTTTCCAACAAGGAATTGCCACCCGAGGGGGCGAACCACAACAAGCCGCTCTACGTTTCGGTGGAATATAGAAACAAATGGATCCCGGTGGTTCTTGTTGATACTGGATCCGCCATCAACGTTTGCCCGGCAAGGACAGCGTATGCAATCAGTTTAAAAATTGCAGACTTTGTGCCGACGGCCCAGGTGATTCGGGCATATGACAACACGAGCAGAGAGGTCATGGGGACAGTGAAAATTCAGACCAAGGTTGGGCCGGGATAGCATGAGATAGATTTCCATGTCTTAGAGGTTCCTGCAACTTTCAACCTGCTTTTGGGGCGGCCGTGGCTGCATCAGGTGAAGGCAGTGTCATCCACCTTGCATCAGATGGTGAAATACCCCCATGGGAAGGGAGTAGCCATTGTTTTTGGGAATTCGTCGATCCATCCACCACCAGAAGTATCCACGACGGTTTTGGAAATTGAGTACGGTATGGATGATGTGTTCATGTCAGGTTTTACCTTAGCTGAGGCTCGAGTTGTGCGGAACATCATGGCGGCTAATGAGGGGGTGTATGTTAGTGCACAATCAGTATACCTCATGAACAAACTCGAACACGTCCCCGGGATGGGATTAGGAAAGATGGCCGGAAGGGCGTCGCAGCATTGGCCGAAGTGCCACACAACCCACATACCTTTGGCTTGGGTTATCTACCCACCAAAGAGGATTGGATAAGAAATGGTAAGGAGATGGCTGGAAGAGCCAGAGCGAAACAGATGGGGAAGCCTTTTGAGTTGATACACCGGCCCATCTAGGGTACCCTAAACGGACGCTTCGTCCGGGAGGGGGAGGACTTTCCATTTTATGGCTTCCCAGAGCCATGGTTAAACGCAGAGAGGAAGCGCGTGCCGGGGTTCGAGATCTTCTTTGACCTGCAATTATTCGGGAATGATGTTGCCGAAGAGCAGACAGACCCAACAGTTAAGTTTAAGAAGAGCAGGAAAGTGGAGTCTGAGGACTTTGAAATTGAAATGGAGGTAGCGCTGACTTGTCTACTTTCAGATCCTCCGATCGAACAAAAGTGCTTGGGGGATAACTTCTCGGTGTCCATGATCGGGAATGAAACGGCTGCGGGCTTACCAGTAAGCATTTTGGATGCATCCATCGCACCCTCTCTCATTTGGCAGTACGAAGAGGGATTTTTGTCAAGCAGCACCGGGTCAGGTAGTGAGCCGGAGTCTGATTCCCCTGAGTCTTGTGAGTCAGAATCAGGTTCCAGCTCGACTGAGTCTGAGTTCGGTATTCCTAGGGGTGACAACCCAGATGCCGCGGTCCTGTCTAGGTCGTCTTTTTCTTTCTCTTTCGAGTCTGTTGTAACGGAAGAATCGGACGGTTTGGAAGTACTCAATGAGAATGATGTGGCTGTGGTTTCTGAGTACTTTTCTGTGCCCTTGATTTATTGCTTGAATAAGGACTTTCAAAATTTTGATAAAAACGACGAGGAAGAAATTCCTCCGGTTTTGCAACGCTTAATTGAACAAGAACAGGAAAGATTTGTTAAACCTTTAGTTGATGAAATCACTACTGTGAATATTGGTACTGAGAAGGACCCGCGGCTGGTCCAGATCGGGTCCACGTTGTCTTTGGAGGAACGCGAGCGCTTAGTCGCTTTATTAAAAGATTTCAAAGATGTTTTCGCGTGGTCCTACGAAGACATGCCTGGAATCAATCCTGAGATTGTACAGCACCGGATCTCTCTCGACCCAGAGGCCCGACCTGTCAAGCAGAAGCTCAAAAGGATTTGCCCAGACTGGGCCATCAAGATCAAAGAAGAGGTCACCAAGCAAATTGACGCAGGTTTCCTGCTGGTTTCCGAATACCCGACTTGGTTGGCCAACATCGTTCTGGTGCCGAAAAAGGATGGTAGGATCAAGGTGTGCGTGGATTTCAGGGATTTGAACAAAGCTAGTCCGAAGGACGACTTTCCCTTGCCGCATATTGATAAGCTAGTGGACTTCACAGCGGGGCATGCTTTGCTTTCGTTCATGGATGGCTTCTCAGGTTACAACCAGATAGTGGTGGCACCTGAAGACCGAGAAAAGACTGCATTCACCACCCCGTGGGGGACATACTACTACAGAGTAATGCCGTTTGGGTTGAAGAATGTTGGAGCTACATATCAACGGGCCGCGACCACAATATTACACGACATGATCCACAAAGAGGTTGAGGTGTACGTAGACGGCATGATCGTCAAGTCTAAAGAAAGAGAGGGCCACTACGCCGCCTTGCAAAAGTTCTTCCAAAGGATCAAGGAGTTTCGGTTGCGGCTGAACCCTCAGAAGTGTACGTTTGGCGTTACAGCGGGAAAGATGCTGGGGTTCTTAATTATGCAGAGAGGTATCGAAGTCGACCCTTCCAAAATCAAGGCCATCTTAGAAATGCCACCACCAAGGACTGAAAAGGAGGTGCGAGGCTTTCTAGGTAAAGTGCAATTCATAAGACGGTTTATCTCAAAATTAACCTTGACTTGTGAACCACTTTTTGGCCTCCTGAAGAAAGGAAAGAAATTCCAGTGGGATGGCCGATGCCAAGCTGCTTTTGAACAGATCAAGGAATACTTACAGAACCCACCTGTGCTGTCACCGCCTGAGCCGGGGAAGCCATTGGTTCTGTATCTTTCAGTAACTGAAACTACAATGGGTTATATGCTCGCACAAGAATCAGAGGACAAAGTGGAAAGAGCCATCTACTATCTGAGCAAGAAGATGCTAGAGTATGAGACTCGTTAAACGCCATTGGAGAAAGCTTGCCTAACTTTGGTATGGGCTACCAGGAAGCTGTGGCACTACCTGTTAGCTCACTCCGTAATGCTGGTTTCACGAATAGATCCCATCAAATATCTTTTCGAGAAACCGGCGCTTACAGGTAGGCTGGCTCGTTGGTTGTTGTTACTTTCCGAATTCGATTTGAAATATGTGACGCGCAAGTCAGTTACAGGAAGAGCAGTAGCAGAATTCTTAGCTGATCACTCGGTCGAAGGGGGTGGAGTAGTTGAGTACTTATTCCCAGATGAGGCCATTTTGCATATCGACGATGAAACTTGGACAATGTACTTTAACGGAGCGTCAAACCAGTACGAGTATGGGATAGGGGTGTTGCTGATAGCACCCGACACTTCCCGTATCCCTCTAGCCTTCAAACTCCGATTCAAAGTCTTGAACAACGAAGCAGAATATGAGGCGTGCCTTGTCGGTTTAGAAGTGGCCTTGGAACTAGGGGCAAGACGGTTGGACGTCATCGGGGACTCGAACCTTGTTATGTCTCAAGCAAAAGGAGATTGGAAAGTCAAAGAAGAAAAGATGATAATGTACCATCAGACCTTGGACCTGCTGGTTCCTCGGTTTGAGAAGCTAAACTTCACTCATCTGCTAAGAAAAAATAACAGGTTCGCAGATTCACTTGCAACTCTATCTTCCATGATAGACATCCCGTTTGGAGTCCGGATGCGTCCAGTCATTATCGACCAGAAATTTGTGCCGGCTTACGAGTCGATTGCCGCTATAGATGAGGTTCAAGATGAGAACCCCTGGTATTACGATATTTGGAATTTCTTGGAGAAAGAAACGTATCCACCAAGGGTAAATGCCAAGGATAAAAGGGCAATCAAAAGAATAGCCATTCAGTTCATCATCTGTGGAGGAAAATTATATAAGAGAGGTCATCTGGGAATGCATAAGCTGTGTGTTGATGCCGAAGAATCAAAACGCCTGATAGAGGCCATCCATGGAGGAGAATGTGGAGCGCATGTGAACGGGGTAATGCTGGCCCGAAAAATCCTCAGACAGGGTTACTACTGGTCCACCATGGAGGAGGATTGTATCGGCTTTGTTTGACGATGCCACGAATGTCAAATCCATGCAAACCGCATGAATATCCCGCCATCGAAGCTGTACAATATGACTTCGCCATGGCCATTTTCAATTTGGGGAATCGATGTGATCGGGGCTGTTACTCCGAAGGGGTCGAATGGGCATGAGTTCATCCTGGTCGCGATAGATTATTTTACAAAGTGGGTCGAGGCCCAATCCTATGCGGTGTTGAAAGCTTCACATGTTCCAAAGTTTATCAGAAACAACATCATCTACCGCTATGGGGTCCTGAATGAGATCGTTTCAGAAAACGGTTCTCACTTCAAGAAGGAAGTGATTGACTTGTTGGAGAAATGTAACGTGGCTTTTCATAAGTCATCCACATACCGGCCGCAAACCAATGGAGCAGTTGAGGCCGCCAACAAGAATATCAAACACCTACTGCAGAAAATGGTGGAAACCTGCCGGGATTAGCCAGATAAGTAGCCGTTTGCTCTGTGGGGTTACCAGACTTCAATCAGAACTTCTACTGGGGCGACTCCATATTCATAGGTTTATAGGATGGAGGACGTCCTACCTATTGAAATTGAGGTTCCATCTTTGAGAGTGCTGGCTGAGTGTCAGATAGCCGAGGTAGATTGGTAGCAGAGCCGATTTGAAGAACTCATGCTCTTTAATGAGAGAAGACTGAAAGCACTGTACCATGTTCAAGGTTATCAGCGTAGAATTGTCAGGGCTTTCAACAAGAAAGTTAAGTCCAG